CTTAATTATAAAATATTGAACCCAGCAGTATTTGCAGTACATAACTGGCGATGCTGTTCTGTAGTGTTGTAGTACTCAAGATCAGTCTTTGAGACCAGTCTCAAGACCACTTTTTGAAGATCTTGGTCTCATCTTAACCACATCTTTACTCAGTCTCATCTCTGTCTCAGACAAAAAGGAATCAAGACCAGCCAAGACCACAGCTGTGGGGAAAGTATCTGTATTGTGTCTTTTATTTGTTAACTTCATTACCAAGGTTTTCCTACCACATCAACACTTTGGCACAATGAGTGCCTTAAGACAAATGAAGGTAAAAAAAGGTGACATCAGAATGGAAAAAAAAATGGAGGTGGCTTGATCTCAACCAGAAACAAAAGCTGGCAACAGGAATGGCCTGGTAATCCACAATTAGTGTTTAGACAAATGTTTGTGTGATTGATCATCAAGCCAAATTGAACAAGATCTTTAACTCCCACCTCCAGCAGAGCTTCGACCAGATCCCGAGAGAGACTGGAGACATTGAGTCCGAATGGACCATGTTCTCCACCTCCATTGCCAATGCGGCCACTCGGAGCTGTGGCCGTAAGGTCTCTGGTGCCTGTCATGGCGGCAATCCCCAAACCCGGTGGTGGACACCAAAAGTAAGGGATGCCATCAAACTGAAGAAGGAGACCTTTCGAGCTTGGTTGGCTCGTGGGACTCCTGAGGCAGCTGACGGGTACCGACAGGCCAAGCGGGTGCTTGTGGAGGCAAAAACTCGGGTCTAGGAGGAGTTTGGCGAGGCCATGGAGAGGGACTATCGGTCAGCCTCGAAGAAATTCTGGCAAACCGTCCGGTGCCTCAGGAGGGGAAAGCAGTGCCCTGCCAAAATTGTTTACAGTGGACGGTGCAAGGAATACTTCGAGGATCTCCTCAACCCCAGCGTCATGTCTTCTGATGAGGAAGCAGAAGCCATGGGCTCAGAGGTGGACTTGTCCATCACCCAAGCTGAAGTCACCGAGGTAGTTGAGAAGCTTCTCGGTGGCAAGGCACCGGGGTGGATGAGATCCGCCCTGAGTACCTCAAGTCTCTGGATGTTGTGGGGCTGTCTTGGCTGACACGCCTCTGCAACATTGCATGGCAGTTGGGGACAGTGCCTCTGGACTGGCAGACTGGGGTGGTGGTCCCTCTTTTCAAGAAGGGGGACTGGAGGGTTTGTTTCAACTATAGGGGGATCACACTCCTCTGCCTCCCCAGGAAAGTATGCCAGGGTACTGGAGAGGAGAATTCGACCGATAGTTGAACCTTGGATTCAGGAGGAACAATGCCATTTTCATCCTGGCCACGGAACACTGGACCAGCTCTATGCCTTCTTCAGGGTGGTGGAGGGTTCATGGGAGTTTGCCCAAACAGTCCACATGTGTTTTATGGATCTGGAGAAGGCATTCGACCGTGCCCCTCACTGCGCCCTGTGGAGGGTGCTCTGGGAGTACGGGGTCCGGGCCATTTGCTAAGGGTTGTCCAGTCCCTTTACAACTGGAGCAGGAGCTTGGTTCACATTGTTGGCAGTAAGTCAGACTTGTTTCCGGTGCATGTTTGACTCCGGCAGGGCTGCCCTTTGTCACCGGTTCTATTCATTATTTTTATGGACAGACTTTCTAGATGCAGCCAGTGGCCAGAAGGAGTCCTGTTCGAGGACCACAGGATCTCGTCTCTGCTTTTTGCAGATGACGTTGTCCTGTTGGTTCCATCAAGCCAGGACCTCCAGCGTGCACTGGGGCGGTTTGCAGCCGAGTGTGAAGCAGCTGGGATGAGAATCAGCACCTTCAACTCCAAGGCTATGGTTCTCAGCCGGAAAAGGGTGGCTTGTTCCCTTTAGGTTGGTGGAGAGTTCCTGCCTCAAGTGGAGGAGTTCAAATATCTTGGGGTCTTGTTCACAAGCAAGGGAAGGATGGAATGGAAGATTGACAGGCGGATCGGTGCAGCTTCTGCAGTAATGTGGTCGATGCACCTGTCCGTCGTGGTGAAGAAGGAGCTGAGCTGTAAGGCGAAGCTCTTGATTTACTGGTTGATCTACGTTTCAATTCTCACCTATGGTCCTGAGCTTTGGGTCATGACCGAAAGGACAAGATCCTGGATACAGGTGGCCGAAATGAGCTTCCTCCGCAGGGTGGTCGGGCGCACCCTTAGAGATAGGGTGAGGAGTTCGGTCACCAGGGAGGAGCTCGGAGTAGAACTGCTGCTCCTCCACATCGAGAGGAGTCAGCTGAGGTGGCTCGGGCATCTGCTTCAGATGCCTCCTGGGCGCCTTCCTAGGAAGGTGTTCCAGGCATGTCCCACCGGGAGAAGGCCCCAGGGAAGACCCAGGACACACTAGAGGGACTGTGTCTCTCGGCTGGCCTGGGAACGCCTCGGCATGCCCCTGGAGGAGCTGGAGGAAGTGTCTGGAGAGAGCAAAGTCTGGGCATCTTTGCTTAGACGGGCCAGCAGTCTTATCCGGTTCCGATAAGTGGAGGAAAATGAATGAATGGATGGATGGATGGATGGATGGGCTTTTCTAAACAGCTGGTGCTTTCTATGGCAGTAAACTGTTATAAAATACAATGACAGAGAATTCACCACCATGGACAGAAAAGGCCAGTACAGAATATGTGTGTCTCCTTATGATACCAGAGGTTTCACAACACAATAGCAGCATTATGTCAAAGACTTGGAAACAAGGACACGGCATTCACCAGAGAAACAGAAAACCAAAGTATTTCCCTGGAAGCTTTGAAATGGAAATTAAATGTAGCTGAGGATGTCTATGGCCACTAGAGACAAGTAAAGAAACTCTCCTCCTGTAGCTTTACACCTTTGATATGAAGCCTTGCTATCATGAACATGAGAGCAGCAGTTGTTATTTGTCTAATTATTATAATGACATACTGACTCGGCAGTGTTAAGCTCAACCCACTGCTGGATTCCACTTGTGTTTACAGATCTGTGATAGGAACTGACATGTCACAGTGGAAAGAAATGGCATTTCTGATATAAATGTTGATATATACAAAAAAATACACAAACACTGCCACCTGGTTTGTGCTAGTATTGCATTTATCCGGCAATTTTCCGGCAAGTATTCTGCATGTGCCATTTCTTGAAACTGGAAAACGGACCTGCTGCCACACAGCAGCTCTAAAGGTCAACAATGGAGCATCTGCTATGTCCATTTCAAATTCTGTGACATGAACACAGTTACACTAGTGAAATGCCTTATATAATAGCCCGGTAGATACATCACAGTCCCACAGCAGAGATATTTTTCAATTGCAATATCACAAAATTACAAATATCATTACGTCCTGAGTTACAAGTGAGGCTGTCCTGATCCTGCTTTTTGTTCTTTGTCCTAACAAAAGTATTTAAGTATTGGGTATGCCAGCTTTGAAGTAGGCTTTCTGTGGATAGTATTTAGTTTGTGCAGAGGAGTAAGCTTTGTGAGGGGCCTGTCTTCATGCTCTAGGTCTACCCCATACTGACCATCAAGCGCTGTTTTCCAACCACCTGTAGCACCTGAGAGTCCTGCACCATCTGCATGCTGACACTGACACTCCTTTTGTTGCTTCGCCTAGTTATAGTGTTCACTCTTAGTGCCTGTTTTTGGGATGTTTACTGCCTGCTCTTTGTCTGGTCAAACTAAAGAGCCATTAGTCCTCTGAGCCCTGGTGCAAAATAACATGTTTTGTTTGGTAATATCTGATTTTACCTAGTTTACCTAATAAACTTCTGTAAGATGTTGTGGAAAGAACTGTAATTTGGCACTAATTATAGGTAAAATGGAGACAGTTTCTTCTTGGTGTTCTTTTTAATGACCAATTCCAGATAAATGCTATTGAAATGTAATTTTGTAAAAACAAAACAACTCAGATAATCATGTAAATGTGCAGTTTGTCTACAGGTAAGCAAGCAAATGGGTGCATATTTATTTGAACATTTACACTAGATCCACCTTAATAAATCACAACCTACACTGTATGTACAGCATGTCTGCTGCTGCCAGCCTTAGCCTACAAAAAAACGAGTTTTTTTCATTCATGTTCATTCAAAGTTTCCCCATTGCATAATTTCATTTTATTTTATTATTAATATTAATAATGACAGTCTTAAAAATGAACACCTGGGTACAATGAAAATGCAAAAGGATTGTCATATAAGCAACAGTCAGTAGTCTACCCACTCTTCAACACAAATTGCACAGAGTCCCCTCTTTGTGTTCAAACAGATGGTCCCTGCTTGGCTCAGACTTCCGATCAGCCATCTACGTATAAACACTGATATATTCGATTCATATCAACCCTGAAGAAAATCTCTAAGAAAATTTCTAAACTGCTTTTCTGACTCTGCTGATACATGAGACCTCTTCATTTCAAGTGACAAATGTTTTCTAC